AGACCAGAGAAAGAATACGAGGTTTGGTATCCCCCTTTATTTATCTGAGAAGTTGAGGATGCACCTCATTCAGACCCAAGAAAAGAAACGAGGTTTGGTATCCCCTTCAGATGCCTGAGAAGCTGAGAAGACGTCTCACTCGGACAAGAGAACAAAAAAAACGGTTTGGTATACCCTATCCTCATCATGACAGATAAATGAGTGTCCTCAATGTTGATATCATTTGGACAGTATCCCTAACAACACTGTCAAGACAAGGAACGAGGTAACTGTTTCGCTGAGAATTCAGTGGCAAGTCAAGCCAGTAGCAGATGAAAAATTCTTTCTAAATTTACTTGGTGGCCAGCAAGTGGCCTGGTTCTCAAGGAACCTGCATCCCCGGCTTTAAGGTATTAAGACTCTCAACCCACGGATGCTATAAAGTGAGACATAAACAAAAGTATAGAAATAAAAAAATCAGAAATTCGAAAGGAAGTCACACTTATACAAAATATAGAGAATGACAATGAACTCAATCTGAAGTAAAGAAAGAAGAAAAAAGATGCAAGAAAGACTACAGTTACTAAGATGAGAGGGAGGAGAAACTGTACATGGGATAGAAGGTGGAGAAATTGGCACTAGGGCCTTACTCGGCGGAGGGGTAGTGGGGGCTCTGGGGAGTACGGAGGAGAGGAGAGACTTGGGGCGCCATAGTGTGCCTCAAACTTCTTTTGGAAATACTCCATCTTCGTTGGCGCCGGAGTTTTTTCATGCCAACCAGCGAGAGAGTGACACGGGTATGGTTTTGCATAAGAACCATATCCTCGCACTCCTTTCTCCTCCTCCTCTGAGCAAGACTTATGTCGTGCACGAGCTGGTGACTCTTCCCACGCCTTTCCACCCCTACCAACTCTTCCTCTTCCATGCCCGCGACGTGCCTCGGGCATGGTACAAGATGAAGTTACAATTGAGAAGAACGTGAAAAGAAAAAGGTGCACAACGATGAAGATAGAGACGAAAAGAATGTCGTCAAAAGAAGTAGACCACACTACTAAGGAAGAAAGAGGGGAGTGATTGTGCAGATTACGCAAAACTGCTACACAATGGAAAAAGAGAAGAATGCGCTGCAGAAGAGAAAGTGCAAATGCAAACTCGCAAGCATTGCTATAAAAATGAGTGACTGCAACACTGATTCTCGCTGCGTAATATTACTTGTCTACTTTGTTTTGGTCCAGCGGGGACGCTGGGCGGGGGTTTGGTATCATGTCGGAGGGCTGACATTCTGGCCCTCCGCGGTATGCCGAATTTGCGACGTCAGTTTTGATGTTCTAGCCTGCAGGGTAAAAGGTACCCCATTAGTGCAATCCGAGAGAACCGCAGTCCAGTTCGATGTGCACCATGGTAAGAGGCTGCGCTGCGGGACGAAGGAGATTTTACTGCACACCCGTTGTTAACCATGTTATATGGCTGGGGAGTTGTTCCAAATTGTCAATACACGCTAATCGTAATTTATATTATTTTATTTTTATTTTGTTCATTTTTGTTTTAATATGTTACAAACTAATTAGCCTTGACCATTCCGTGGTCAATCCTGTTAGGTTGTACCGCTGATTTTTATTTTATTTTTGTGCAAAGGGCTCGACTAGCCTTGATAATAAATTAAAAAATAGAATAGTAATAATAAAAGAGGATGGTCTAAGTGACGTTAGTATTCACATTGGTGAAGTCAGGATCCAAACCAAAGGGACCGTGCCGGGGCTGTATTTTTGCAGCTGGGTTAGGAAACCAGCTCCACCAGTGGGACTGCCGAAACTCGAATCAACGCCTGGTCCACTCAAGTAATACGTTTTCCGTTTCCATGACGGGGATGTGCGTGCTCAAGCGCCACGTGTCAAGGGGCACAATAGTCAGCTGTCGGCCCAGGGAAATGGCCACCTGGCCGTTACAAGAGGGACTAGGGTTTGGCTTTTCAGTTCAGTTCCGACATGCACGATGCGGCGTGGCAGATAGAGAGAACGACTTGTCATGCAGCCAAGGACACAAGCTCACGTGTCGCATGTTTCACTGGGCGGACTGCCACTTGGCAGCAACATGGACCTCGGGTATAAACTTCTTGGACATTTTAGGACGCTGTGGTCAGGAGGAACTACCAGTCTGAGTAGATAGTGGCGTGCAGCGGGTGGTTTGACAATGTCGGCCGATTGTGGGGCGAGGCATACTTTTAGCCTGCAGTAGAAAACTAGTCAAAGGCTTGTATAGCAGCAGACAATAAAGCACAATAGTCAATGAGGGGTCAATAATATTTCCATGATCAGATTGAAAAGCGGAGAAAAAATTCGACCGTAAGTGATTGGACACCCTTTATTTACTGATCAAGCAACAACTGGGTACTTAGGTATTTGTGTCTTTGTGGAAGAGACAGGGACAAGTTAATTGCCCGCCACTATTTGATTTCTCGATCTCCCTTTGATTTCCTGTTTTGAGGACGGAATCAATTACCCATTTACTAACTACCCCTGAATTTCTTTTGCCAGCCATTGAGCACAAATTTGCGCTGAAGTTGTGCAAGTTACCTAGTCGAACCAAAAGAACACCGAGAGAGTGGGTGAAAGCAAATTTACGCAATGCATTTCGTCTGTTCCTTTCGAATTGCAGTCGAACAGAAAACAAGTTACTGATTTACATCGATGTTCCAGTCCTTAAGTTAACATTGAAATTAATTAATTTATTATTTAATATTTATTCACTCCGAACGTCATTTGTGGGCCTTGACTGAGCATTAGATGGGTATGTTTATTGTTGTAACTGTGTGCTTAGTCAGAGCCTGCTAATCTGATGATAGATGGGTGATAGGCATTGATAGCCAAATGCATCAGGTCGTTGTAAGTTACCTGACTAATCCACGCCGACTTTGCTCCACCGTTCTTTCCATTCCAAATCAACGTGCGAGTCCGGGGAGTGGGGAGAGTCTCGTGAGAAAATGTTCGGCAGCCTGCTAACCTGAAAAGAGACAAAGCAGACGTTCAATTATGTTGATGTCACTCCTCGGTTGATTAATTAGTCTCATGGTTGAGAATTGAAGCCTCCTTACGTAGTCCTCTGTGTTGCCTGTGAAGTCTCACGTCGGTTGCGCATATATATCTCATTTAGATCTCGAAAAATGGTATGTTTTGCTGTAGCAGATAGAAGCTCGTCATTCAACAAAGGAGAGAACGAGTCAATACGGGGAGAAACACATAGTCACGTGCAGTGGCGCATTTTTGCCTTCTGATGTTCATGATGTCAACGTAGTTCATTAGGCACTTCATGGCGGAAAGCATCTAATTGTGTCAAGTGTCACTCGAATCAATTTTGGATTTTACTGCCCATGTACCATCACCAATTCATGCCATGAGGCTGACAACAAGTGATCCACAAGTGGTCCTTATTCCTTTGCATGAACGCTTCTCCATGGTTATCAGTGTGGTATCGTGAAATATGTGTGGCGACTGTAACAGTGCGCACACTTACCCGCACTAGACATGCAAGGGTGGATGATATTGTTTATGGATCTACTCACGGATGTGTGCCGCATTCACGGGGCCATAATACGAAACGGGCATTAGACTTGTGTTGGACCAGTTTCGGGCTATCGGTCAGTCAAGATCGCAGTCTATCAAGGGTTGCTGCCTATCAAATACAGCGATATTTGGATGGACTACGCTCCTGACAACGCATGAAATATTTGGTCATCAGAGGTACTTCTGTTGTTCAACCACCTGCTCCGACGAGTTCTGCAACATAACAACAAAAATAAAGAAGGAGATGATCTCTGCAAACGCTGATTTTGTCATGGTACTCTTACTTGGATCTACAAAGAGGATGCTATGGGGGAGGAAACTTTGATTGCTTCCTGACTTCGACTAATGGTTGTCCGCCTATTATTATGTGCCCATTGAGCTTCATTGTATCCTGCCATCAAAATTGACTAGATTCATTGGTTAGTTAAAGTTTACTTGCTGTCATATCGTGTGTGTGTGTGTGGGGGGAGAGAGAGAGAGAGAGAGAGTCGCGCTTCCTTTGTACGACATCTGCACGGTCGGGATCCTAACCACGCGGCCGGGATCCGAACAGCGCAGGCGGAATCGAAACCGCGCGAGGCGTACCGATCGGAGAGAGAGAGAGAGAGAGAGAGAGAGAGAGAGAGAGAGAGAGAGAGAGAGAGATTGATTGTTGGATTGTGATTGAGCGAGCGAGCGAGCGAGCAAGCAAGCGAATCGTGAAGGTAGTCTCTTATTATGGTGTTGGATCCTAAGTCTTTATGGTTTTGTCTTTTGTTTTCGAACGCAAGCAAGCAAGCGAATCATGAAGGTAGTCTCTTATTATGGTGTTGGATCCTAAGCCTTTATGGTTTTGTCTTTTGTTTTCGAACGCACGCACGCACGCACGCACGCACGCACGCACGCACGCACGCACGCACGCACGCACGCACGCACGCACGCACACATGCACGCAC